ATATCTGCCCCAGATGTTTTGTTCACAAGTGCCCCCATCATCCTTCTTAAACCTAACTTGAAAAAAAAAAGAACTTTTAATTGAGTAAAAAAAAAGAATAATTGTCATAAACTTACCTGAATGTTCATATAATGATCTGCAATAGTTAATTTTAGTTTATTAGTTGATTTATATTATGCTTTCACTTGAAGAAGCGAGCGATTATAATATATGCAACACCAGCTGATACAAAGAAATTGTCAGAATAGATCAACAAAATGTCTCATTGTTCTGAAAGTTTTTCAGAGAGGTAGGACTAGTACTGCCATCAATTGAAAATTTTTCGAGATTTTTTATTTCAAATCATATTGGTAAAACATACCATGTTCACATGTGCCCCCCTCTCCCCTACTATTAACGCTTTCAATCTAAAAATTTTTAATTTCATTTTAAGTAATTATACGTCATCGGAGAAAAAATTTATGCAAAGTAAGTTTATTTAATAAATCTAAATATATAAATAAATATCGAGCGTTAGTGAAATGAATGTTCTGAATTGACTTATAACCAATCCATGCAGCGTAAAAATGCCCCTCTTACAATGCAATAATTGACAAATGTTTATAACTCTGCAGGATACGAAAATAATTTCCATACAGTGGTACTAATTGTAAGAAAAGTTGAGAAGGAGAAAAATCTTATAATTGCACATCTATATTTATATATTAGCATAACTTTTCATAATAAAGCATACAAATTAACAATAAACTGCTTGCATAAAAAGCTGATATTTTTTTTTATAATTTATACATTATTATAGTCAATCGCAAACATAACCCTATTGTATCCTGGATAATCTGAGTTGTTTCGAAACATTTATTAACAAACATTTTATGAATTATAATTTTTAAATCTTTTACAAGTTGCAATTTATCATGAGTACTTAGACTTAAGAAAGTGAGAAAAATAAATCTGGTACGTTAGATGCTGAAATAACATCGCACCAAATTTTTTAAGCAAAGCATTTAACTACAAATTGAGCAAACAAACAAAACAAAAATTAAGTAAGAACATTGTTTGCTTATCATACCAAGTGTCATCAAGCTGAGATAAATTATTCATATCATTTAAAAATTGAATAAGTCTTGAATCATTCGATTCGCTTAAAAAGAGACTGTGTTGATAAGATTAGAAACTTAATGCACGTGCATGACCAACTCACTACTGCCTTTTACACTAGATTAGAATAAGTTCAATGATCACATTGCTTTCATTTCAGACGTTTCAAACTAACGTGCAACTTATATTCGTGTTAAGAATAAAAAGAAATCGTACCAAACATTTTATTTAAAATTTATTCACTAACTTATTTTGAAATAACTGTTACTTGTTTTTAAATGTTTTCAATCCGACAATTTAATAATCTACGAAAATTCTTACATTGCTATGAAATAGCTATTTTTCTTTTATAAATATCTAATATTAAAATTCTAAATACTATAGGAAAAAAAACTAACAATATCCAATAATTAACCACAACGTCCTTTTTGTTAACGTATATATAATATCCCCTTAATAAAATATATATATTACTTTAAGGTGACTAAACGGTCTCAAATTTCGAGGATAGTCCTCGAATTTCCTTGATTGTCTACAAAAATTCTGTAATTCTTTGTAAGCAGGAAATGTTCCCAAATTTTAATAAGTGTTCTCAAATGCTTTGTTAAATTATTTGCAGATTCTTTTAATTAGTGCTAACTATTAATACAAAGTTCTGAAATTAAGAACATAAGTTAAAAAAGCTACTAAAAATATTGAATAGAAATAGAGACTAAACCTAACTTGAAAGAAATTTTTCTTAGAAATTAAGAGAGCGAAAAATTTGAATACAACTAAAAAACTTATTTTACCCCCAAAAAATTATGATTTATTTATTATGATTAATAGTGAGAGAAAAATTCAGAATTAAAAACAATAAAACTGTTTGCATTGTAATAAATCCAGAATCGTAAATATTTTCTGACATATTCAGAAAATTTTTGAGCAATGACGTAAAAATATAACTATTTATTTTTACATTGAAATTTTACAGAAACTTTTCGGCCGATGTATTAAAATTTTAGATTTTGCTGATAATAAATAAGTAGCATTATAGATTATCTTTAGATGAATGAATTGCATAACTAAATTATGCTTAAAATATTATCATCATGCACTGATTTCCAAAGTGAAAAATCCAAAAATTAAAAATAACAGAGGGGCGAAACTTTTGAGAAATCTGGTCAATGTACGGTCCATCATCCAAATCCATCAAAAAAAAATTATTTCAATTGAGGCAAGTAAATTAATTAGTAATTAACATTAGCTAATTATTTCACTAATATTAAGCATTAACTAGCTCCTATCATTAGATAAAAACTTATTAAATGCGTAAAAATATTAAAAACATTTTAAGTGTGGATGCATAGTTAGATTGATTTTGAAAAGAAATATTTCGAAAAGATTTTCAGATTAAAATTTAAAAATTCATACTTCTGTTAACAAATTAAAATTTCAGTGTAAAGACATGAAATTTTATATTGAAATTGATGTCGTTTTGAATGTTAACATCTCCATTTACAGAATAATATATATTCGAATTGTGATAAAAACCAGATATAAAGCTTAGTATATACTAAAATGTAACTGTCAAATTTTTCACCCGTTGAGAAATGATTTGGTGCTTTTACTGTATTTATTTTCGGAATGATCAAGTTTATGAGCTTTGGTTAGCTAAAATATAGTAATTCTACCAAGAAAATATGAGATTTCAAATTTTCCAAATCGATTATTTTTTTAACTTGAAAATATTGTTTACCTTGTTGTTCTTAATGGGAGTTGATAGGGCATGCACCAATAATGCTAAAGCTGAACTTTTTAGATGAGCTTTTTCTCAGTATCTAAACAAGATAGTGTTTCAGTTTTATTTTCCACAGAATATTTACATGTACATGTTAACACTGTAATAACTGCTAATGCATGTCGTTGGCAGCATTTTTTTTTAAATTATGAACTGAGAACTTTTAATTTTTTAAAAAGTTCATTTTTTATTAAAAATATTTCATAACTCAAAAAGTATTCCTGTTAAAGCTAAAACATTATCGCAGCATACAACTGATATAATCTTAAATATCCCTGAAGAATTTCATAGCCATATCAAAAGTAGTTTCTTAGAAAAGGTACTACGAAAAAGGTCAATTTTAGCATTATTAATATATGCCCTACCAATTCCACTTAGAAAAAAACAACACATAATTCGAATGAAAATTAAGAAAAACAATAAGTTTTATTTGCTGTGCATAAGCTGCAAGTAAACAGAACTCATAGAATAAGTTCAAAATGTAGAGAAAACATGGGAAAAATTACAGAACAATGGAAAAAAAAGGGGGGAGGGAAGATAATAATAATAAAAAATTTATATTATTATTTTTCCTTTCAATATATATATAATTTTATATTGACTCTTATAATTTTATTAATGTAACTTTAAATGAAATTTTTTCTGTGTAGTAAACTAGGACAGAGTTAACGAAATTAAAATTTTATTTAAAATCTGAATAAAAAAATTTTCATTAGCGTTTCATTGATAAAAATTGTCTAAAAAATTTATTTTATTTAAAAATTTTCAAAAAAAAACATAAGCATTTAACATAAGCATAGCACAGTAAAACTTATATGCTTTTCCAAATATTTGATAAGCAATTCATATCAATGAAAATAAACACTAGAGTATAAACTATTCATTAGAAAGAGAATTGATAACATTCAAAACGCAGATGATGTGTATCATCCCAAACACGTGATTGTAGAATGTTCACTACACAGAAAGTTTTTAGTCTTGTTTCAACAGATATCAAATAAACGTTCTGAATTCAATATTCAATCCTTACTACATATCAGATTATAAAAAATAAAAAACAGTGCTTTATTTCGTTATTTTTTTTTTTTTTTTTAATCTTTTAGTTTTCTTACAAGAAGAAATCTGTCATAAGTTTCAACATTATTAGAAATAATTTTTAAAAAAATTACACTTTTGCGAATACAATTTTATTTAGTTAAACATACAAAAAATAATTCTTAGTATTTTTTTAAAGAATATTTCACTCTATAAGTAACTTTTTATGAACGACAGACAGCATAGTAGAATCTTGAGTATCCAACACTCTCGAAACCAGGTGTATTAGAAAACCGATATCATTGGAAAATCAGGGTATTTCTTCAATTATTCTTTAAATTTTCTTTTGTGCTCAGATTACTTTTTACTAGTTAAGTCATTAACGTGAATGGTATGTGGATTAGTGCTACACCACCAAATTTTAACCCAGCATTTCGAAAGTTATTTGAAACCATGTGTTTATTGTTTATAATCGTGCTTTTAAAACGTGTTTGAGGAGAGAGGGAATAAGGTGCAATATTATTTAAATTAATGAATTCTAAGACAAAAAAGTACTAAATAAAATAATTTAAAAAAATAACAATTTTTCTCCAGGTCTGCACGAAAAATTATTAAATAAAATATTGCTGTTAACTTATAAAAATCGAGTTTGTATAGTCTCGGCTAATTTCACAGGTATTACGTCCACTTTATATTAAGTTTTTCTTCAAATAGGTTGCCAGAATTTCTTATAAAAATTTTTAAGAAAGGATTTTTCATCTGCTAACTTTTAAAATTTTATAAAAAAAATTCTTGCAACACATAACTAGCATTCCTTAAAAAAATTGGAAGCTTCAAAACAAGATTAAGAATATTACATATATTTTGCCACAAATAATAATTTTTTTTAATGAATTTTAACTTAAGTAATCTGCAGTTCATTACATCATTACGGAAAATTCATTTTCACCACTTTTTTGCATTTACAATTTACTATCAATAAATGGAACTTATGATTTTTTTAAAACTATACAATGATTAATGAACAGAAGAATAAGAAAAAAAAGACATGGAATTTTGTGTTGAAAAGGAAAACTACACAAAAATATGAAACATATTAAATGATTTATTAAACACATTTGTGATATGAGCTTTATACAAAATTAAAAAATATTTATATACAAATGGTGCCATAATTCATGTTGGCGGTTAAATTTTATATAAAATTACATTTCGATTTCTTTTTAACATTGAAGCTTAAATTGTTTCTGATATTTGAAGAGTAGGAACAAGAGCAGCTTCAGAACATGCTATTAAACAAGAAAAAAATATAAAAACTAATTACATGTGAAAACAAATAAATTTTAAATAATGAAACAATAAGAAGTTGACTAATGTGAAAAGGCTAAAACCCATACGTATTATCCAGGACTAAATTTTAAACATAAGAAAAACACTATTGAAAAATGTGTTGAGTTATTATTATTATAAGATAATAAATAACAATTGATATGCTAAAATTCAACATTTGAAATAATAATTTATTACTCAACTTAAACTGTTTAAATATGGTTTTAGACATTTATACAAAGTTTTCAAACACATAATTCAAATGTTTATAGACATATTTTAAAAGTTATATAACACTCTAATGGGCACTGAGATGTCTGCAACCAAATCATATTAAGTGGACATGAGAGCTAATCATTATCCTTTATAAGACGTTTCATGTAAAGAATGTACAAGATTTTTTCTAGATAAATAAAAAACTATTTTGTTCCAGGAAGAGAGAATTTATTGAAATTTAACTTTGCTATACTCTCTACAACCAAGATGCATATTTTCTTTTTTAAATCTACAGGACATATTCAATTATTTAATAGTTATGAACATTTGTTAGCTTGTTTTTAAAAGTATTAATAAACATTTTTCCAACTATTACTGATATATTATTTCAAGTGTAAAACCAAATACATATTTCTATCACTAAAAATATTTTTATCACAATAATTATTAATCCTATCAAGAGCACAGTGTAGCAACCAAAATGAATTCCTAGATATTTTTTAGACGATACATAAAAGGTATAAAATTTTCTGCTCAAAGAAAAGTTCATTAAAAAATAGATGACATTTTAAACTTGCAAGGTCAACTTCCGTCACTGCTTACACGCATTGGTGCTATGTTTAGTACAGTCGAACTCGTTTATAACGAGCGCAAAGGGACCATAACATTGTACTCGTTAAATCCGAGTGCTCGTAATAAACGGGTCCTTAAGGCAGGCGTGCAACCAGAAGAGGGAGGGGGCTTGGGAGGTCAAATGATTGAGTTTACTTAAAAACTTATTTTAAAAATACAATCATAAAGAAAATAACTTTTATTATTGATATATTTTAATACTTGTTTTAGAAACCTTTGAAAAATTAAATTACCATTAATATTCCAGAAAATTTAATGGTCATTACATATACTGCTTTTAATTTAAGAAAATATAATATGGTAGTTTTCTGTGCAGAATAATTTAAAATGTATAGAATTTTTCATTAAAGTACTATACTTTAAAATTTTTAGACTTAGGGAATTATTCAATAATTAGTTTTGGATTTCAGATATTGACACTAAAAAAGAAAAATGTAACAAAAATATATAATTATACAATAAGATGTTTTATTAAATATTAGATATTCATTATATTCAGTAATTTATTTTGAACTATAGACATGAGAGAGAAAGATGCGACAAAAAATGCAATAAGATAGCCTATATTTTCTATTTTATAATGAAATATTTTAAGTTACACCAAAAAAACATTGTAACATATTGAAATGCATAATTCTCAAATATGAAAGCTAATTTCAAAATCATTATTATATTATACCATGAGCATTATATTATACCATATTATACAGTAGAGAACCGATTATCCGGAACGATCGGGACCATCGCGATTTCGGATAACTGATTTTTCCGGTTTTCTGAATTGCTACAAAATGCCGTTTTTTAATGTTTATAAAACGAAACCAAAAAATTATTTTGAAATAGTTTCAGAAATAATAAAAAATTATAAATAATAATACACTTAAGTTTAAATAAGGAAAGAAATTATGTAATAAAAATTATATACAGGCTTATATATGTTATTATTAACATTAATAACATATATAAGCTATTTGGGCTTATGTGACAGTAGTCGACAAACGGCTTTTGATCCGTCCTCTAAATCAGTTCTTTCGTCAACTCGATGTGCCGTGCGCTCTAAATAACAAAATGGGCTCAAAATCTTGCAGGAGAAAAAAAAATTTAATGGAAGAAAATTAATTTCCGGTTCCGAATTTCATTCCGGTTATCTGGTTTTCCGGTTTTCTGATTTCCGGATAAGAGGTTCTGCACTGTACTATGTTCTAAAAATTGGAGTTAGATTAATGGCCAGAAGAATAACCAAATTTGTAAACAGTATACTTTAAAAACATTTAAAATTGGAGTTATTGGATTTAATATTACAAAAAATTACAAAAACATAACGCATATTTATAATTTTTATAAAAATATCTATAATGATACAATTTATATAACGTTACACAGAATTAAAAATACTGACCATGAGGTTCATCCATGAAATAAGTGTGTTGTAAACTACTTCTTGCTGAATACCTAAAAAATGATAATAAATAAACTATTAAAACAGAAGAACAATACTTAGATATAATAATTAGAATAATTCAAAACAAAATTCTATCTTATACGTACCTTGTTTCAGGGTTGTATAAAAATAGCTTGTGAAGAAGTGTAATGCATGTCTTTGGCTGGTCACGAAATATTTGCCTTAGTCTGTTAGAACTATACTCAGAATAAAATAATGAGAGGAGCTAATGTAAGTAGTAAAAAACTTGAGGTAAAAAATTCAATTTGAAAGAAAATCAAGAACAAAATATATTAGCTTCCTTGAAAGAGATAAAAACAAAATTATATGTACATAAAAATTGTTTAAAATGAGCTATGCATGATAGAGAAACAAACCTATAACTGAAAATTTTATATAGGTCTACTTTAAAAATAAAAATGTGAGTTGTATTTATACAATATTTTCTTCCCACCAAGACTAATTCAAATTAACCATGCATTCTAATTATTTAAACAGATTAAATAACTTACAGTCAGATTTTTGTAAGACTTTGGAAAAATTATGTATTATTCCATTTTTACAACACCTCTTCATAAACTTTTTATCTACTACATCTCAATATAATATTTCATTCATTATATTTAATCAAGCAGTATCTTCCATACATGTAAGTCGCAATTTATTTTCTATTAGTTAATTGTAAATGGTAATGCAATTGCTCTTCAGGAAATAAAAAGATAATATATTAAATTATCATATTTTGTCATATTGAGTAATGTGTAACTCACAGCACTTTGAATTGAGAAGATTTTAAAGTTTAATGGCACAATCCTAAATGGCACTACACTCTCTAAGTAATAATAAAAAATCAAAAAATATCATTAGGGTATCTTGGGTCACGTCTAAAGAAGCTAATTTTCCAGGAAGCTTACACCACTTCAGATAAATAGTAAAGAAGGAATTGAATGTAATTAATGATATGATTTGTAAAAGGAGACAACGAAATTAAAAAAGTTATGCATTTTGAATCTGTTTGATTAGACTATGGGTAGTATGTTTCCAACAATTTGATATTTCAAAAAAATTTTAACAGCAAAAGCATAAATGCTTGAGGAATTCTTTTTTGTTATAACTCTTTTCTAATCATGAATGGTATTTAAAAATTTCATCATTTTAATTTAAATTCTAACAGTCATATTTGCTTTCATTGATCAAATCTGATCCTATCTTAATACTGTCACAGAATTGAACAATTTATTGCCTTTTAAGACTGTCATGAATAGCTTCAAGTCCTTTTTACAATTAATTCAGATAAATTACGCAAAAAAGCAATTATAAATATCCTTAATGATGCATTTTTATTAATAATTCATAAAATAAAAGTATTGGTAATAATATAAATTAGTATAACCGTGTGATGAACAATACTATGCATTAATTATCAAATAAAACATAGATTAATAAAAATAATCTTAAGTTAAAAATTAAAACAATTTTTAAGTTAATGCACATTAACAAATATATTATTAATGGAATGTTCATTAAATAAATCATAATATAATAATTTCTTATAAATTAAGAAGATTTGAACTAGGAAAGAAAAAAAAAGTATTTTCATTAATATATTTTTTTTAGTAAACAAACAAATTATCTTACGATTGCTGGCGAATTTCGTAATTTTTCAGTAGCGGTAACTCAGTAAAGCCCTAGAAACAAAAATATTAATTGGTGTAAAACATATTCATAAAGATTACAATATCTTTATGAAGACAATTAATAATGAAATAAGTTAAAAACAGTCTTAATAAAGAAAAAATGAGTCATAAATAACTGTAAATGACATAATTGCTTCAGTTAAAATTTACAACAAAAAGATTTCTGAAATATTTAGTTTAACAGGAAAAGAGAACAATGCAAATGAAAATAAATAAAAAAATCCATAAACAGTGCAAGAAGAATTACTAGTAGATATAATAAAAAAACTGATAAAATAGGATAATTACAAATATAGCAATATAGAAACCTTTCAAGTTTTCTTTTATTATTTTTATGGTAGTTTTTTTTTTTTTTTTTAAATGGTAGAAATATTTAAATGAATGAAACATTACTGCAACTATTTCACCACAACACGTCTTGAGTATAAAACTTGATGAAAAATCAACTGAATATTTTTCTCTTATTACAATATAGATAAAACTTTTTTTTTAATCAATTCTTATTTTTACCTTTATTTACAATTTTATAAAACTTATAAATGTTAATACAATGAAATAAATAAATAACAAATCCTTGAATAAAATTGGTCATGGCTAGGAGTTAAAAAATTTACAAATAAAAATTCAATATTAACTAGATACTTAAATGTAAACAATACAAAAAAATCAGCAATAGTTCTTAAAAAGAATTACAATATATAATGCAAAGTCTTAAGAGTAGCTATGGTTCACACTTTTAAATTAAATAACAGCTGTCACTGCCTCTACTTATTGCATAGTTAATAAATATTGTTAAAGACTTTGAATTTTTCCCTTTTAAATAAATTAAAAAAATCATAACTAACTAACAGAAACCTTTTTAAAAAAATGCTTAGGATATGTTTGAGTGTACAAAGAACTAATATTAAAAAATATACAGAAAAATAATAATACTTCTTAATATTTGTCAAAAACAAAGAAATACTAGATTAACCATTTTTCTTTTTATAAATTAATTATACATAAATATATAACAATAAAAACTAATCAAGGAAATTTTTTTCAGGCATACTTTAATAATTATCATAAAATAAAATTTCAAACAGGCCATAGATTCTTATTCAGAGAGCTTATATTAAGAATTATTATTATTATTAATTAATTTATAAATATTTATAATAGTTATCATGAAATAAAATTCCATACAGGGCATAGAGTTTTGATAGCTTAGTTATAATAATTATAATTAATATATATTTATAATACTTATCATAAAATAAAATTTCATACTGGCCAAAGAGTTTCATTAGGAGAGCTTATAGTATCAATAATAAGCTTAATCATGTCATTGTCTGTATCAGCAGGAAATAAAGGCTTCCTATGAATTAATTCAGCAAAAATACAGCCAGCAGCCCTAAAGTAACAAATTGAAATAAAAGGAAAAAAAGAGATCTTTACAAAATTGAATAGTATGTAAATAAATTTTTTAATAAATATTTAAAGAGAGAGACAAAAACAAACCAGAAAGCTTTTATCAAGAAACAATTAAAAGCCTCTAAAAATTACAAGGAAATATCAATTATGAAATAAAATAACATTTTACTTCAGTGAAAACTTATTAGGATCTCATTATTTTATTTCCTTTTAAAATAATCTTTAAATATTAATAACAACAATAAGAATAATTTGTGGTTTATGTTAGTTTATTAATTGGAAACATTGTTGATGGAATAGCTTTCAAAAGAGGCGGATAAAATAAAGAAGCTAAAAAAAAAATTTAATAAAATTTTAAGTGAACGGTATCTGTTTCCCTAATATGTTTTTTTTTTTTTTTTTTTTTTTTTTTTTTACAATTATGTGCTATCACACTAAGTTTAAAAATTATGAAATACTTGTAAAAACCTACTAATTCTTTAATTAATACATTACTAGCAAAATTAGTATAATTGATTATCTCCTTTGATTTTAAATTTGATGCAATGACATTTGCGGGGAGATAATGCTTTTAAGAAATCAAGAATTTTTGGCATTCATTCATGAACATGTTTAGAGATTGTCTGTAATTTTCAAACAGAAGCAAAATGTTTGTACCAGAATTTTATAAAAGTGATAGTACGCATAAGATTTAGGCTGAATTTCTGGTTTTGTAAATAAATGCTGCGTAGAATTAAAGTTCTTATACAGGCAACAGGAGGTCCAGCAAACACTAAAAATGTGAATAAATATGTTTTTTTTAAGGAATTTTAAGGTTTTTTAAGGGTATAAGGTTTTTTAAGGATGTTTTTTTAAGCAATTTATGTTTTTGAATATAATTTAAAAAATTTAAGAAAAAAATATAGTTTTATTTTTAGATATAGAGGGGAAGAAAGAGGAATTTTCTCCATTCCAAGAATTTTATATTTTACATTTTAAAATACCAAGAAATGAGATGTTTTACAATGTTGCCTTTTCTTCAAAACTAAAATGTTGCTTGAATGTTCTATTAAGAAATAATTGCACTATTCTACTGGCATGATAGGTTGTATTTTGCATTTTAAAACAGTAAAATTTTAATTTTTTCTAAATGAATCTCACTCCTTCTTGCTGCAAAGAAGTAGAGTAATATTTGAGCAGAAATTTATGTTAGACCAAATGGCTCAACTGGCTCACCTACAGCCAAGTTGTTTACACAACCAAATTTTAAAATTTCTTTAAATATTTTCATAGGCTAAGAATTCCAATAAATTAGATAATAGATTTGAATTTTAATTGCTGTTTAACATAGTATAAGGAATATGTGACAATATATGTCAATGACAAAATATAAAAAATTAAATATAAAATTACCACATGTCAATGGCTGAAGTGTATGTTTTAGCTCCAAATAAAATTTCCGGTGCTCTGTACCTAAGAAGGTTATAAGAAATAAGAACAACTATTATAAAAAATTTAAATCCAATTTAACAAACAACCATTGATAAATACATCAGCTCTTCAAAAGCAAATAGTAATGTTCTTGAATATGCTATATAATATAGGAAACATTTTGTTAACATTATAGACCTATAGACTATAATCAGAAGCAAAAACATATAAATGAGGGATATATGGAAAGTTTGACCTGCTTTTTTACATAAAAAATATTTTTAATAAAAAATTTTAAATCGAAATTATTTGATAAATAATAATGTTTGTTATTATATTACATAATTTTTAAATTACCTATTTTATAAATGACTTTTTACCAGTGAACAAACAGGATATTATCTCTATACTTAAGTGGTTTAACCCACTATGAGGGAGGTTAGAACCATAGGATTCAAAAAAGTTATTAAAATCTATGCAGTAATAACTTAATTTCTTTAAGAAATATTACAGTCAATAATTTTGTCTGAAATTTTAAATATTTATTTACATATAAAAAAAATTTTTTTTTTTCTCAATTTCTTTTTTGACCTATCTATCAGAAGTCTCGATTTGGTATGATAGATTAAACCTCTCTCAATAAACATTTGGTAAAATAAATAAATAAAAAACAAATAAATATTAATATAAGAAGTAAATAAACAATAAATATACTGGCTTTTAGTAAATTTAAAAACAAAGAATTAAACTTTTTTATAAATATGGTTCTGTAGAGAAGGACTTGCAACAACAACAAAATTTACTAGATGAAAACTACATCACTCATGATTTCTTCTTTTTTTTATTAACAAATGGCTGATAGGCAGGAAAAAAAGAAAAGATTTCGTTTGATATCATGCAACACACAGTCCATAATTCATTAGCTAAATAAATATTTAAATAAATAAAAAAAAAGATAATTTAAATCAAACCTTTCATACTTTCCCTACTCCTACATATTATACTTGGAAAATGATAACTAAATATCATAATTAAATATCTGAGCCTGCTATTACAGACCTGGATATGAATTAGTTTAAAAATTTAAGACAGTAAGCAGACTATAAACAGACAGTAAGCAGACTATAAAACACTTTCCCAAAATAATACTCTAACGTTTATAACATTCAGCAATTTTAAACACATTTATTAAAACAAGATTTTCATAATGTTATTGTATCAATAAATTTATATAAAATCATATACTCTGAAACTGTTACTAAGGTTAATTTTTCCCTAGAAAATAGAAACTTGTTTGTAGCACAGGAAAGCAATTTGATTTCACCTTAACTAAATTTGAGGTAATTATTCAAAGGTTTAAACAATAACTTATAATAAAAAAATAACATACAAGCATTGTTTTAAAATAGTTGAAGCTTACTTATTATTAGTTTATATCATAAGTTTACTTTTAAATTTTTGATGTAGTATGATAAAAGTAAAAACTTACCATCGTGAAACCACATTTGGAGTCATTTCACCATTTGATGTCAATCGTGAAAAACCAAAATCAGCTAAGTTTAAACAAAAAAAATTTTAAAGTATGAAAATAAAAAAAATAAAATTTTGAAGTATGGAAATAAAAAAAAGAAAATTTTAAAATATGAAAATAAAAAAAATAAAGATTTAAAATAATTCAATACTTACAAATTTTTAAAATACCACTTGATGTAAATAAAATATTTGTCACACTCAAATCCCTAAATAAAAAATTATACATTACAAAAAATTTTCAAAAATACACATTTTTTTTTTATAGAAACATGCAAGAAACATTTTAGTGATTATACTACTTTTTTCATAAATACTAAAAAAAAAAAAAAAAAAACTCTAGTATATATAATATAAATTAAGTAATTTTTGATATTATTTACCTGTGTATAATATGTTTACTGTGAACATATGCTAAGCCTTCAAAAAGCTGAGTCATGACGCCCTTAATCTAAAAATAATATCAATCACTTTTTACTTTAGAGAAATTGGAACAAATTTTTTTTTAAGAAACAAGATGTTAAAATTCTAGTTCATTATTGAATAAAAACAGTCTTAAAAACATTTTTTCATTGTAACCACTTAATTATTAGTTTTTAATTATCAATTAACTTTATTTTAATTATGTACTTAATTTAATTTATTACAATGTATAATATATGAACACCAAAAACTTTTTGGAATTAAGCAAAACTTTACAGATATAGCTGCAATCTTGATGCAAGCAAACTATTTCGAAATAAAAAAATTATTAAAAAAAATTAATATTCAAAAATATAAATAAATAAAAAAATAATAAACCAGATGAAAATAAAGTTCACATTAAATTGGGTAATAATTTATCACAATCTTACAACAGCTTAATTGCTGTTTCTACAGAAATTGCTACAACTTTTACACCAATAAAATACAACATTCAACAATACCAATGCAACTTCTTACTTTACATCTTGATAGTAACTTTATTTTTTGATACTTCTTGATCTATGTGTATATAGTTGAAAGGATATATATATATATATACATACACACACATCTATAAATATTCAAAAATAAAAAAATAGAGGATGCAACTTGTGATTTCTCCCTTGTTTAATAATGGCTGATGACTATAAGTGCTGCATTTTCCTAAATATATATTCACAACCAGATATTGTAGGTATCCACAATAGAGATAAACAGTTAAAAAATATGACAAAAAAATAAAATACATTTATTTTAGAAAAATAAGAACATATTAGGCGGAGTCAAACATAACTTCCAATGCTTTCTGTAACTTACTAACACTACGGAAAAAAAACAGATATAAATCTACAACCTAAATAAGTTCAAATAACATTTTCTTTCTTGAAAAAAATTAAAAAAGATTTGAATAATGCAATAATTTTTTTTTCAAAAATCATTTTAAAAACTTGTTTGCACAAATTAAATTCAATAAATTACAGCGCTACATCCGTAGCTCCTCACTATCCCTCTTTGTTTTTTTTCTAGTAATAAAGAACAAAAAATTATTCGCCTTTTGGGATTCTAAAAATATATTTCTTATAAAAAATATGAAATCTTTTTAAATATTGTGATTCCAAGACTATTTTAAAATGTAAAAAATTGATATGTTCTTCTTTTTCCTTAGAAAAAAAAGCAAATGGATGCAAAAATTTTTTTTACTATGATTAGTTTTCATTTTACATCAAAATATTGTAAAAACAAACAAACTATTTAAAATCTAACTTGAAATTCAGCAAAGTTGTGCTCCTTTTGCACAACAGAGTACTTATTGCAAAAAAAATCATAATTCTCCTACTCTGCCAATAGTTTTCACCAAATTGAATTCTGAGCACTTAAAAAGAACATTTTAAATTTTATATAAAATAAATCAAAATCAATCAATTACAAGATCCAATCAATTACATTTTCATAACAAAATGTTCCCTAAACATATATCTAAATATGTGCAAAATTTTATACAATTTCATCCAATAGTTTTTGCGTTGTGAGAACGAGAAATAATTAGAAGTGGTTAAAATTTTTAATATAGAAAGATATATCTAATAATATACAGCATTATTAAATATTTAATATTATCCATTCTTTTTTTACTATAAAGAAATACAATATCAAATCATTATTCCGTTGAACAGTTAATTTAATTCAAAAAGATATATTAGACCAGTGTTTCCCAACGTGGGGCCCACGCCCCACCGGGGGGCAATTTGATTGTAAAGGGGGGCAATTCAAAAATGACTCGACATGAGTTTAAACCTTTTGCTCTGGGCCATTTAAATGCAGTGCAAGATTTCGGTGACAAAATCGAAAGAAAAAGGCAAATTCTTAAATAATTGCGGTCAATAAATATTATGTGACTTAGGGATTTTTTAAGCGACAAACCTGAAATGAAGTATCTGTTTACAGTCGATGGTAAAGCATTTGTGAGTTATTTAGCCAATATCTTTGAAAAACTGAATATATTAAATAAGAAACTTCAAGGAACAAATAAAACTCTTGTTGATGCAAAAGCGAAGATATTTGGCTTCATTACCCTTATTGAGTTACGTCAGAAATATATTAACGACAAAAACTTTGAACAGTTTCATTGGCTCCAAAAATGTGAAGTAAATGATATCGCTTTACTTGTTATTGTCTATCATCTGAAAATTCTGTCGGCTAATTTAAAAGAAAGATATTCTGATTTAAAATAAATTTATTTTCCAACATGGATGTTGCAGTCCATGTTAATGGATTTGTCTGATATATCAAATATATCAAGAAGAACTTGCAGTAATGCAAAATGATGAGTCAGTTAAAACTTTATTTAATATGAAAGGAGTCATGGCATGGCTTTGTGAGGAAACAGAAAACAAATACCCAAATTCAATCAAATGTGCAAGAAAACTATTATTACCGATTCCATCTTCATATTTAGCTGAATGTGGATTTAGTGCTGTAAATGATTTTATTGGCGAAAAAAAACAAATCGTCTGGATAGAACACAACGGGGAGACTGAAGCTAACCAAACTGGAACCTGATAAAATCTACTTGCAGCAAGCATCAAGGGAAAGAATCTCACTAAATTAAAATATTAAATTATTATAGAAAAACCTTTATTAAAATTATTTGAATTTTAGTTTTTCATTATATGTTCTGAAAATATACTTACTTTGTTTCGCTAACAATTTCCTAAGTTTCTCAAGTGAACAATTCGATTTTTTAATATTAAAAATTATGTATATGTTACATAGGGGGGGGGGGCATAAGAATTTTAGAAAGGCTTAGGTGGGGCATGGTACAAAAAAGGTTGGGAAACACTGTATTAGACCATCTAAATCAAATATATTTGTATCTTTATCACATTTTAAAACAGAAATCTTGCTTTGAAGTTGAACGGAATCTACATGTTTTGATTCCATTTCCTTAAAAACACACTTAAGCATACTTAAAGACAGAAGAAACTTTTGACTCCCCCTAATAATAATTTAGTTGATTATTTACCTGAGATTGATCAAAAATAGCCTTTTCATCATCAATAACTTTTGAAAGACTAAATGGACAATACTCTTGAATGAGATACGTGCTGAAATGTACAAATAGCAAATTAAAAAATAAAATATTTGGAGAAAGAGTTTGACCAAACCAAGGTTAAATAAAAAAATTTCTGTAACATACTACTTTAAAGCAATTCAGCCTAAAACATTGCATTATAAAGCAAATGCGTTCAGATAGTTCATAACAATAATTAAAATAGCATGAGAAGTGCAAAAATTAAGGCTATTCTTAACAAAATCAAAATTAAAAAAGAAAACAAGAGCTCGATACTGCAAATTTAATTTGAATTTTTAAAAATATTAATATAAAAGTTAAATTTTACTACATGAAAGTTTAGATGATAAAATAAAGTCCTACTTTTACACATTATTATTGCAATTACATAATAAATTTATAAATTGTGAACACCTCTTGATCCTACCTTTAACACATTTTTTTTAATTCTTCATTTCAAAAAATAAAACATACTGTGTTTCAAAAGTTTATGCATTTTAGCACAAAAATCTATTTGTAAATAGCATAATTTTTTAAACATTGTATACTTATTCTATATTGTTAACTTGGCTAAAAATTATTGCTTACTGTCAAATATGATGTAGTAATTTTTCAAATTTCTCTTAACAATTTAAACAAAATTTCAGAAATCAGCCCCAAAAACTGTACTATTTTGGCATAGAGAAAAATACAATTTTTTGATGCTCTTTTGACTCAAGAAAAATACATTTTTTAAGCCAGTCATGACAATATTAGGCTTGTTAAATCATAAAATTGATAGAAAATGAAATAATCTCACCACAACCACTAATTTTTACTTTTTTAAATGTATAGATGTCTGAGCATTTGAATAAATGTAGCAATAAAGGCTAGACTTTCAGATTTTAAAATAAAACAATAAATAAATTTAATTAGGAATCAATCACAACATAGTAACTTATTAATGATTTCACACAAAATAGAATATTCAGAATAGCATAATTATTCTATTTCTAATTTTAAAAATCTAAAAATTGGTCAGCCTAATTAAGAGTTTATTATGGATTTCTAAAATTTAATACATTATTTAAAAGAATCTAAAGTAAGTCCACTAACAGTAAAAGCAAAATAATGTTAGGCAAAATCAAATCATCTTTAATAATATATTAAGTTGCAATTGGTTTATTGTATTAAATTTTTACTTTTAATCCAATAATATAATTATTAATATTTAATCACTGGAATGTTGACGCCATTAAGAAAAATTTTCAGGAAAAAAAATTAGAAAATCAATCGATAACCAGAATTAATAAATATGTATACAAGTACACAACAAGATGTGTAGATTTGACAATCTATGACAGTGTTTCCCAAAGTGTGGTATGCGTATTTCAGGGGTATGGGAATAGTTTAGCGGGGGTATGCGTTCTTATACGAAATATTTTGCAATCGGACATTTCAAAGAATTTTATTTAAAAACAAAGCTAGCCATGAAAACTTGCGATTACATATTTTTCTATTAGCTATTTTTTGAAGAAATAACAGTTAATAATTAGTGGTGTCAACAGCCAGTTGTGATGTTTAACTTTTGTGCAATTTTTTCACAGTAAAAAATACATAATTTTTTTTTATTAGTGGTACACAGTGTTACGAAAAATTTAGAAAGGGTACACAAAAGTCATAAGTTTGGGAAACACTGATCTATGAATGTTAAGTATCAAAGCACACTCTAAAGAGTAGTTTACTGAAATTGTAAAAATTAAGAATAGCTAAACAAATAAAATAAGAAAAATTTCATAATTTTTTAAAATCCTTTTTCCATTGATGTATATTTTTATTTTCACTTAAGATGATACATTATTATACACGCAGTCACACCTTGATATCACCAGCTCAAAGAGAGATACTAAAAATTTCATAACATCAAAAATTCAAATAATTGAAAATCAAGTATGTTTATTCAAAATTCAATATTTTTAAAACAAACAAAATTAAATATTCTGTAAATGAATCATATCAATAATAAATATTCAGTAAAAAAAATTCAATAATATTTATTTAAAAAAAAGAAAACCAAGTTCTTTCAAACAATATATTTATTTCATATGATTTTGCAATTTGCTAAAATTTGTCAATTGCATCATCCTTGTTTGATAAAGTTCCCACTTATAGTTCCCTTCCTTGATATAGTTCATTTTTTCATAAACCATTTTATGATTTATGAATAAACCTATGATTTCAAATCTTATTCTTGTGTGCGCACATTTAATTTACAAATCGACTTCTTCAGGAATGAATGAAGGAATCAATCAGACAATCCATTTCGGGTTTCGAGAAATACCTCATAAAATTATTCAAGAAAAGTCTTTAGGGCTTGAAATTTAAGGAAGCCTTTTTAATTCTTCAGAAACGAGGAATGAAACATTTTGGGTAAACAAAAATATTTCTTAAAATCAAGGATCAGAAAAAAAGATACTCAGCTAAAACAGTTTTTTTCTATTATCAACATAGCAAATGTGTAGGGAAATTAGAATTTTTTGTAATATTTCAAAATTTTTGACATTGACAAATTCATAATATCAAAGCTTGACTGTATTTTAAAATTTTTATATTTATTTTTGTTTGAAAGACATATTTTACTTCAAAGATATAAATTATACAAAATATGTTGTTAAAGAAAATTAAAAGCAACTAAAAAATTAAAGTTAGAAATAACATTAGCAACAATTGCATACCTTTCAAAACTTTTTCCAACAGCAACACCATAAAAGTGTGTAACATTACAATGTTCCAAATTCTTTAAAATAGTGATTTCTCGCAAGCAGTATATGGATATGCCTATAAAGTGAAAAAAGAAATTTTTTATAGTTATTCAAAATACAATAATAACAAAATCAGTTACATGATTCTACTACTTTTTTAAAATAAGGTAACTCAGAAACTATTTGACAGATTGTCCTCAATATTTGCATTTTGTCATTTAAAATTGCATAATTTAAAATGGTATAAAAATTTTAATAACTTGGAATTCAAAATTCTTTTAACATTTAGAAAATAAAATAATAAAAAATAATAAATAATTATTAAAAATCAATTTTTATACAAAATTATCTTTGCATATACAAATCTTATAATTGTGTGCAAAAACTTTTTGATCTACCTAAAAAGTTCTTAATATATAGTAAAATACAGAAAAAGTAAAATAAACAATAAAAGTTTGAAACTTTTGATGGCTCGTCCGACCAAAATATTGAGACCATATTTTCCAGAGTATAGCAACCATATTTTAAGGGTCAAGAATTTGAATTTGACAAAAAAAAGTTAGTTTTATTCAGAGAAAGTATGTTTCTGTGTCTGACTTCGCAACTAAAAATATTGACTGCTTTGATTAATTAGCATATTTAAGGTTAGACTCTTGAACCATTAAAATTGAGTTTTAGTACAGGAAAATTCAATCATTAGATCAAAAATTAATCAGAACACGTTTACTTTTTTATTTTGTACACAACAGATAATATGTATATTGAAGAAGCCATTTTTAACCTGACTTCCTAAAGTGACCGCTTTCATGTGACCATTTTAACCGATTCCGAGAGATATATAGATTTGGACAGATTATACTTTATTTATCTCTTACAATCTACATTTTACTCAGTTTCAAAGTACTAAAACAGAGCAATGAATAAAATGAAAATAACCTAAGAAATATAAAATTGTACAGAAGATTTAAGCGCCAAAACTCTTAAAAAAGATGCAAGTAACAAATTAAAATATAAGAAAATCTTACACGCCAATTCATCTTTTGAAATTTTCAATTTCTTTAAGGCAACCACCTCTCCACTCTTTATATCAAGAACCTTATCTAAATAAACAAGGTTTAAAATAATATTTACAATTTTCTAAACTGGCATTTCAATCCATACATTTCTGCAATCTGAAATTTAAATTTTAAAAGAAATAAAATGAATTTGGGATATAAAAAATAATAATAGTTTTTTTATAAGACATTTGAACACATTTTAATATGTTAAACTTTAAATCATGCTTAGAAAGTCTAAAATTTAGATCACTTTATCATTGTTTTTGTCAGTAAAATGTGATATGAAAATGGAAGTACAGTAGAGAACCGATTATCCGGAACGATCGGGACCATCGCGATTCTGGATAACTGATTTTTCCGGTTTTCGGAATTGCTACAAAATGCCGTTTTTTTAATGTTTATAAAACGAAACTAAAAAATTCTTTTGAAATAGTTTTAGAAATAATAAAAAATGATAAATACACTAAAGTTTAAATAAGGAAAGAAATTATGAAATAAAAATTATATGCAGGCTTATATATGTTATTAATGTTATTATTAACATTAACAACATATATAAGCTATTTGTGCTTAGGTGAGATTCGTCTACAAACGGCTTTTGATCCGTCGTCTAAATCAGTTCTTTCGTCAACTCGATACGCCGTACGCTTTAAATAACAAAATGGGCTCAAAATCTGGCAGGGGAAAAAAATTTTTATGGAAGAAAATTAATTTCCGGTTCCAAATTTCATTCCGGTTATCTGGTTTTCCGGTTTCCGTATAAGAGGTTCTGCACTGTACTAAATTTTATAAATTTGTGAAATGCATAAGTTATATGATTAAAGCATAAGTCAGAATATTAGTTCAGCTCTCTTCAGTAGCATAAGTTACATGATTAAAATGCATTGATTAACAATAGTATTCAATTCAATTTAAAATATTTCAATAGCTATAGCAGGTTTTTTTTTAAAAAATTTTAGTGTGAGGACCCTATTATATTTAGGAAAATTTTGTGGAACCCCTTAAACAGAGCACAAATCCGAGAAACACACAAATCGAACTCTCAGTTTCTTTACTTGTACTGTAATAGTTTACTATCGCAGCTTTAGGTCATTAACTCAGGGTTCAGGGGTAATTGTGACACAAAATAAAAAACCCTGAAAATTTTATGTGCAAAAATTTAAAAACAAGAAGAATGAAAATTATCCTACCTTTACCTTTATTATACCTTTACGTTTGAAGTTTCTCACACCTTTTTAGTAATTTACATAAGGAAAATCTCAATTCTTACAAAAATCCTATATTGGATTTTAGTATCACATGAATATGAATCGAATTCGATATGAGAAACGCACAAATCAAACTCTCAGTTTCGTCACTTGTACTGTAATAGTTTACTATTGCAGTTTTAGGTCATTAACTCAGGGTTCAGGGGTAATTGTGACACAAAATAAAAAAATCTGAAAATTTTATGCGCAAGAATTTAAAAGCAAGACTAATGAAAATTATCCCACCTTTACGTTTGAAGTTTCTTACAGTTTACCAATGAAGTTACTCACACCTTTCCAGTAATTTACATAGGAAAAATCTCAATTCTTACAAAAAATCCAATATTGGATTTTAGTATCACATGAATATGAATCGAATTCGATATAGAAATCATGTGAATAAAATTCATGACATTGGATTTAAAAAAAGTGAAAACACAAATCACTATACTGAATTTTTAAATCATGTGAATATGAATCACAATATGAAACTTAAAAATCAGTTTATCATGCAAATCGATGTTTGATATTAAAATCGCGTGAATAAGAATCACAATGTTATCAGATTCTGGTGTAGTTTAAAATGAGCGATTTGCGTAAATCTGCCAAACCAAAAGAATGAAATTGACAGATATCCACCAGTTATCAGAAGAATGTGAACATCTTGTTTAGGGGTTTACAGAATATAGCAAAAGTTTCAAAATTTAAATTTTAGTTTGCGGAACTCTATAAAATTTCATTGGGTTATAAATCATCAAACCAAGTCCCCAAACCAACTTGAGATACCTGGGATTCTGAGATATTCTCTGAAAAGTCACATGCCCTGCTCCTAGTTTTTTTACCCAGAAAGATGATAAAACCCCAAATTTTAGGGTACATACAGAATACAGTCATCCTGCTTAATTTTTAATTTTAAGACATGGGACAGTGAGAAACATTTAAATATGTAACAAACTTAAATATAGCAACAATAAAAAATAAATTCAATTATTTGGGTAAATTCAAGCATAAACAATAGTATGTATATTAAGTGTAGCCACTTGGAAGTTCACTATTGAGAAAACCCACTAAATTCTAATGTGAAGGTTAAGAATCAATTGGAAGGGTGTGCCTATTTTGTTTTTCTTTGAATGTATTATCATTTCTTTATCTATTTTTTAACACATAATGAGAAAATATTTGGTAATCATAGAATTATTTTAATAAGTTAAAGAAATATCAAAATTGTTAAAATTTTCGGTGACCCCTGCTGAAGGTCTGGGATTATGACTTATAGGTAGTTAAACTTTGGTGTATAGAGTTGTTTGTAATTTTTCATTAATTTCTGCGCTTCTCTTTGTCATTCTGTGTTTCAATATTGAAGAATGAGCTTCATTGTAGTATCAAAACAATAGAATGTCTGCTTATGTGACAGTGATTATTCCCCCCTCCCTATTATTTTATTTAATTAACAGTTTTCAAATTATTTAAGTATAAAATAAAAAGATTAAAAATGTCAAAGCAACTAGCAACTTTGTAATTTGATTTCAGCAATATTTATATATTTTATATTATTTGTGCATACCTTTATTTCACTATTATTTGCTTTCATAAATGCAAATCAAATTAATAATAAAAACAATTGAATCAATTTATGTTAAAGATAATTTATAAACTCCAATCGCCAACTTTCAGCAACTTTTTATCTGTGAAAAACTTAACAAAAACCATATCTGAAGGGAACCAACTTAACAGGAGAATTTTAATTTTCACAAGTTTTTTTAAAAAAAAAAAAAAAAAAAAAAAAAAACCTTTAGCGTCATGGCGAAGGTGAAAACAGATAGCGATACGCAAATATTCTCAGTTACTCATATAAGTATTATAGAAAAAATCTAAAACATAATGAAATAGTCGAACTCACAAACTGTACCATGTGCCCCTTCTCCAATGTGAGAAATTTTGTTGAATTCAGAAATATGGCGACATTTCCCAGACTAAAATAAAAATTCATGTCATATATATATTATAAAAATTACGAAAGCAGAGAAATTAAGACGTGTGTTACAGGAAACAAAGTATTACCACATGTAACTCAGGTATTTTAAATGGCTGAAGATCGAAGGAAAGAAGTGTGATTCCTTCTCCTGATGATGACGAAGATTCTTCAACAGGAAAATGTTCAAGGCCGGGGATCGGCATGCTGACAAATCAATGCACAGGATTATATTTATAAGAATTTTATAATATATACTATACTACTTTCGACAATAGAAAGGCTATTTTGAAGAAACTAACGTAAAGTTTAAAAGCAAAGATTTCATGAAATTTATGAAACTTTCTTAACACGTTATTAAATACTTATTTTAATATATGAAAGGAAAAAAAGGGAAACAAATATTATCGATAAACTGCCATAGCAACCAGTCACTTGTTTACTGTCAAAAAAGGAGCTTGTGTTTATTTACTGTGATACGTCTCATGCTTCTGGTTTTTGCTCGCTCTTAATTTGGAATTGTGAGTCATGCTTATTTAAACCACAGAAAATTAAGGCTCAGAGAAATTTTGAAATGGGAAGCACTATTCTCACTAGAAGCAAATTTATTTATTATTTTTTTTTTTTGCATGTGGTGAGAAATACATAATTACTCTGGATCAGCTTGCTTGCATAACTGATGTGACGTTTTCACTGCAAGCAATTCATATGCGATCGCGCATCAATGCGATGCTTTCAAAACATTCGTTAAGGGGCAATTGCATGCTCGAATGAATGCACCAACTGGGGAGAAGACTGGTTCCATGTCTTGACCCCAGTGGTCCCCATCCCCCCAAGCTCTTGGGCGCATTCTTGGGCAAATTCTAAATTCCCCCCAAACTATTCGTTTTATTTAGTGTAAAAATTCCCCCCAAGCTTTAAGTGGGCATATCGTGCTCCCCCCCCCCTGGTGGGGGCCCCTGGTTCGAACTGTAGATTAGAATTTCTGCTTCTTAATGAAAACAAAAGTATCGTTCAAATGATGAAATTCTCTTTTATTCAAAACTCAAGATGTATTTATGGGATCTCTCTGGTCCCCTATCTCAAAAATAAACTCACCCACTTAATGCATAACAAAATTAAAAGTAAAAAGAATTCTAAAATAAAAATGATCAGGCAGCAGCTGTCGCCATAGCAACGCATGCGCACTGTTTACTATTACTCTTGATTATTGCAGTTGAAAAGTGAGGAAACCATAAAATCCAATGGGTAATAAAAAATAAAAAAAATAAAATTCATCGACGCGCTTTCAATTTTTAATAGTTATAATTCCAGTAAGCATAAGTGTTTACGAATAAACATTGAATCGTTCTATCATTTGTGAATTTTACTCATTCTTGAGTGAAAAAAACAAGAAGTGTTATTAGCCAGTAATTGAAAGAAACAGGATTATTTTTCACAGCTTCCTCGAAGTCCTTCACGTCGAATGGTGGCACCAGTTCAACGCATCATTGCTTATCATTCACCTCTTCCGACTCACAGGCCACAAAACGAAAAAATAAAAGCGGCCTTATAGAACAATTATGCCGCTTTCAATGCCCTCTTAATAACTCATTGCGCATTTTTAGCTTTCTTGCTTACCTGACAGTGCGTGTGATGTCCATTAAATATGATTTTAACCGTTTCTTAAATTTAGACATCGTTTCGTCAATTTTCATTCTCCTTTTTTTTTTTTTATTCTAAACATTATTTGTGAAGACCACCCAACTTATCGAGTGCTTCTTTCGACTGCTATAATCCTGTTCGCTGGATCGCCCGTTCAAAAAAAATTGTCTAGAAAGGATAATTATAACTTTTTAGTATAATAATATTTTAGTTTATTTAGTAATAATATATTAATAGTATTTTTAGTAATAAAAATAGTATTTTCAGTTATAATATTTATAGTTCAAAAAGATGTTATAACTGCTTGCAAGTTATAACATCTTTTCTGAAAAGTGATGTGGTTAAAAATTGGAGTCAAACGATTGGAATATCTTGTACAGCGAAGCACTTTTTTCTAATAATGTGTGTTGCAGGGATGGGATTAACAAATTAAGTTAATTATCGGGAAAACTTTATTAAAATATTCATATTTTGACTATGTGTAAATGTGGCAGGGAGATTAAATGAGACGACATGTTATATATAAATATAGAATATTTATTATATCAAACATTATATTAGTATATTGTAATAATTAGATCAAATTATTAGACACACTGTAGTGTTAATGACATGTTTTGCACGAGTTTGTATGCAATACTCTTATATTTAAACATACATGTAATGGGTTTTTATTCGGGAGAT